ACACACACACAACACACACATCACACATACACACATATACACATATACACACAATACACACAACACATACACACACACACACACACACACACATACACACACAGAGAGGTTAAGGGAAATCAACCTGACGACACTGGAGGACAGGAGAGATAGGGGGGACATGATAACGACATACAAAATACTGAGAGGAATTGACAAGGTGGACAAAGACAGGATGTTCCAGAGATTGGACACAGTAACAAGGGACACAGTTGGAAGCTGAAGGCACAGATGAATCACAGGGATGTTAGGAAGTATTTCTTCAGCCACAGAGTAGTCAGTAAGTGGAATAGTTTGGGAAGCGATGTAGTGGAGGCAGGATCCATACATAGCTTTAAGCAGAGGTATGATAAAGCTCACGGCTCAGGGAGAGTGACCTAGTAGCGATCAGTGAAGAGGCGGGGCCAGGAGCTCGGAATCGACCCCCGCAACCTCAACTAGGTGAGTACACACATGAACTGAGGAAACTGAAGGTCGACGGAGTGGAGGTCTTCAGGAAGGTCTGTGATAGATCATGTCGCTCTGGAGGTGTAGACACGAAGAAAGGTGTCTCTTACTTGTACCTGTGTGCTGCATTTTCCAGGGCGCGATGCACTGTGTAGGTGCTACTATGCTCGTAGACTGGAGGAGCAGCGTATGATCTGTAGAAGACAAAAAGTTCCCGATGACTGGGTTAACACCACTGGCAGTGGCTAATCGCGAGAAAAATCTGTTACCTTACCTTTGAGCATCCACTTTTAATGTTTATACAACAGGAAAAACATCAAATAATGGAAAAACACAAGTACCACAAAGAGACTTATTGCGAAGTTTCACCTAAACAAGAGGTTTAATTAAACCTCGTGTAAGCGAAACGTTGTAATGAAAGATCTTCCTTAGTTAAATATGTGGTGTTCCACTATCATGAAAGTAACAAACTGCGAAAGCGTACTGAAAATCGAGCCTGAGGCCTCGTTTATTCAAGACTTTCACATAACCCACAAGGTCAACAAGTTGACAAATTCTTCCTAACTTTGAATTATTCTTAGACAGATCTGTAAGGGCATAGCTGTTGTCTGTATCGCGTGGTAAAGGAGAACGCTTTACACTGTTGTTGACTGAACGATTTGCTGTACATATCGTGAAATGAGTGAATCACTGCTTTGATTAAGGCCAAAAGCAAGGTTCCTATGTATGGTGAGGGTCATTGTCCCCAGATAGGCCAAGAGGTGGCCAAAGGGCTAGTCAGCCCCAGAAGATGGATTCTGGTATAGCTCTGAAAGTGAAATTGTCTTCCATTACTCGTACCTTGGCTGATCTTTGTACAGAAATGTAGGCTCATTCATCACATGGATACCAACATACCAATAATATGTTCTTTCATTGATATTATTATTATTTCACATTATCATTCGCATTCATAATACGCCATAATACCCTCGACTCTTCATTAGTGCAGCTGTTTACAAACACATGGCATTTGTAAATGTGTCTGATGATGCTTTACATTGTAAATGCATTAAGTTTTAGTGACAAAAGTGGTGGAGGTACTTGGCCTAAAAAAATTGAGAACACTTCTTCAGCAACAAGAAACACATGCTAGAGAGCTCTCAAAACTCTCTGAGGAGTTGGAATTTCACAACCAATAATACTCATAAAGCCTACTAGAAATTATAATACGCTAGATGCGATCTCTGCGATGATAAGGAACTAATTAATCAGAGACGTAATAATTTTGAATATAATACTCTCCGATTACATTTTCTCTGTAAGGCAAACAAGGATAAGGTCGTTAGTTACGAATGTAAGATTTATCCAACATGAGAGTATTAGGTAATTTAACTTCAACAATCGCAAAACTGACTGGGGCCCCCCCAAAAAAAAAAAAAAAAAAGGAAAGTCAGTTTTTCCCTGGAAAACCTAGCGTGCTCTAAACCCAAACGTCCAGCCTTTCCCAGTGCAAGGAAAGCCTGAGTGAGGAAGTATGGAGTCAGTGTAAGATATCCAGCTGAGAACAATTAAAGATATACAAAGAGCACGTTGAAGACTTTACTTAAGCAGAGTAAGATTGCTGCGTGTGCGTGTGTGCGTGTGTGTGCGTGTGTGCGCGCGTGTGTGTGCGCGCGTGTGTGTGCGCGCGTGTGTGTGCGCGCGCGTGTGTGTGCGCGCGTGTGTGCGCGTGCGTGTGTGCGTGCGCGTGTGTGTGCGCGCGTGTGGTGGCGCGTGTGTGTGTGCACGTGTTGTGTGTGGCGCGCTGTGTGCGGTGTGGTGCGCGCGGCGTGTGTGTGCGCGCGTGTGTGTGCGCGCGCGTGTGTGTGTGCGCGTGTGTGTGTGTCGCGTGTGTGTGCGCGCGTGTTGTGTGCGCGTGTGTGCGCGCGTGTGTGTTGTGTGTCGCGCGCTGCGCGTGTGCGCGAGTGTGTGCTGTCGTGTGTGTCGCGTGTGTGCGTGTGTGCGTATTGTGTGCGTGTGTGTGTGCGTGTGTTGTGCTCGTATGTGTGTGCTTGTGTGTGTGCTGCGTGGTAGTGTGTGTGTGTGTTGTGTGTGCGTGCGTGCGTGTGTGCGTGTGTGTACTCACCTATTTATAGTTGCAGGGGTCGATTCATAGCTCGTGACCCCACCTTTTCGCTGGTCACTTCTGTCCACTCCTTATGAGTTTTATCGTACCTCTTCTTAAAACTATGTATTGATCCTGCCTCCATTGCGTCACTCTCCACATTGTTCCACTTCCTGACTCTATGACTGAAGAAATAATTCCTAACATCCTTGTGACTTACCTGAGTTTTCAATTTCCAGTGACCCCTTGTTACTATGTGCTATTTCCGAAGCATTCTGTCCCTAACCAATTTTTCAATTCTTCTTGGTATAAGTTATCATGTGTGCCCTCTCCTGTTCTGCAATATCGTCAGGTTGATTTTCCTTAACCTCTCCTCGTAGGACATACCCCTTCGCTCCAGGACTAGTCTCGTTGCAAACCTTTGTACTTTCTTTAATTTATTGATGTGCTTGACCAGGTGTGGGATCCATACTGGTGCTACATACTCCAGTATGGGCCTGACGTACACGGTGTACAGTGTCGTGAATGACTCCTTAGATATCGAAACGCTATTCTTAGGTTTGCCAGGCGCCCATGTGCTGCAGTTATTTGGTTGATGTGCGTCTCAGGAGATGTGCTTTGTATGATACTCACCCCAAGATCATTTTTCCCGAGTGAATTTTGCAGGTTTTAATCCCGTAGCATGTATTCCGTCTACGGTCTTCTTTGACCTTCCCCAATCTTCATGAATTTGGACTTGGTGGGATTAAACTCAAGGAGCCATTTGTCGGACCAGGTTTGCAACCTATCCAGATCCCTTTGTAGTTCCACCTAATCCCTACCCGGTTGAATTCTCCGCATTAGCTTCACGTTGTCTGCGAACAGGGACACCTCTAAATCTATCCCTTCCGCCATGTCATTCACATATACCAGAAACAGCACTGGGTTGTGGTTCGTACGCTGGATTACGTGCGGCCAGCAGTAACAGCCTCGTTGATCAGGCTCTTATCCACCAGGAGGCCTGGTCATGGACCGGGCCGCGAGGGGTTGATCCCCGGAATGCCCTTCAGGTAGACTCCAGGTCCTAGGACTGACCCTTGTGGAACGCCGCTCGTCACATGCGCTCACCCTGACACCTCGTCACGTACCATCACTCCTTTTCTTCCTGTCAATGTTTGTGTGTGAGTGGTCACAGAGTTGTACCTGCGTTTATTTACAGGTTAGCGTGTGCATTTGTGTGTTTTGGCACGTGAATGCATGCGTGTATGTCTACAAAACCCGGCCAGCCTGACAGTAGTGACGCGGGCCAGTGTTTATGCAGTAGGCGTGGAAAGATAGCGAAGGCTGTTCGTAATGACGTTTGTATGAACGTTAATGACAGTTGTGATAATGGTTGCGTTAGTGGTGGTTGTGTTAATGGTGGTTGCCGAGGTTTTTGTAGCAGTAGTAGTGGATGATGAGGGTGTTGGGTGTTAATGGTGGTGGTTATGATTGTGACGGTGTTACTGGAGAGTATTGATTGTAGTGGTGCTGACGAGTGAAATATGCTGTTAGTGTTGATGGTAGTGTTGGTAGTAGTGAAGTGTTGTTGTTGATGATGGTGACTGAAATTTCAGCTACAATATGCATATACATAACTGATGATGCATTGTGTAGAAATACATAAGTTATCACTTTTTTTGTCATCAAAATAGCACTCTAAACTGCATTATCCGTGGGGAAAAAATGAGCAGAATCCAGGCTAGGATACTCACGTGAGAGGAGGAGGAGGAAGATAGACTTCCTCCACTTCCTCAGGCTTGCTGGGCACTAGAAGGATGACGGAGGCCGCCACCAGCCCCGTCAGGAGGACGAGGCCCAGGAGGGAGTAGAGAGCATCATCACTGATGGACACGGACAGGTTTCCCACAGAAGCCAGGAGGAACCTTGCGCTCTCCTCCAGTTCTTGCAGGCTTTCGCGCCCCTTGCCGCGCCAGGGTTCTGGCTCTACTACTTCATTTTTTGCTGTCTGTGTGTCTGCTGCGGAGGTGTCTACATCATAAGGTACAGCCACGCTAACAACCGTTACCATGACTATAGCCATGATTCCTGTAAAATTATTATTATTGTTATTATATATTCATGGGAAAGCGCTAAATGGTAAGGGTTATATAGCGCCTGGGAAATGGAAGGCGAACAGTTTTAATCCCAGGAAGGAGAAAGTAGGTAAAATTCCTTGAATATAATTCCTTGGACAGGCCAGTTTCCAAGGCACTGGCTTGCTAAGGGCTTTATCCCCCTGGCAACACCAGCTACGTTAAAATGCAAAAATAACAACAGAGACGAATCACTCAGATCATTTAACATTGTAGAAGACTTCCTTCACAGGGAACACTGCAGATATGTATACCTAGCAGCTTAAGTTGCATTAACAAATTGCTCACTAACATCTCATTTTTAATTTCCACAGTGATAAGCAACATCTCTATGCTCCATTCTTGGAAAGTGGTCAAACTTCGTGCTTTCCCCCACGAGTCAAATTCAGTCCCTACATTGCCTACATCATGGAGTTGAGACAGGAGGCCCATGCACCTCCCACGATCAACCAGGACCCAGAAGTAAGTCTCCTTCAAGGATCTAATAGCCAAGACTCCTACAGATCACTTCAGATATTCGGGCTTGGGCACATTCCTCCATGTTGGCACCTAGCAAATTGCAACTTATATTTCCTTCTCGTCTATTGTTAGTAGCTCATTACCACAATGACTTCAGCTCGTGGATTTTTGGAGCCCGCTACCCAGACCACTTGCCGATACACTTTGACTACCACCAAGATGAAAATGGGGCGCATATTTTAATATTAAAAAGGCGCCAAATAATACAAGGTGTATAACGAAGCTATTAAATCGCGTTCAGCTTTCTCAGGTGTTGTACGATATGCACTCAACCCCCAGCTACACCCCCATGATACTGTCAACACTATTTTCCACAGCACTGTTCGTCTTACCCTTCAGGGCCATCATGAGAGACGTTTATACAGATGAGTATATTATGCAGGTGAATATGTATATATTCAGGAGAATGCTTCCGGCCTGGCTGTCCGTGTATGACTGATGTCTTGCAGGAAGCTAACAACGCTTATATACGCCCACACATATACGCCGCCCACTGGCCAAAACCGTGGCAGGACGGGTGTGTTGACCAGGAGGTGGTGGGGAAATGGTGAGCCGCCATCACCAAGGTGAAGGAGCATCAGGATGTTTACATGGCATCCTAGACCCTATGGCCAGAGACTCCTAGATCTCACTTCCACCCCCCTCACCCCCTTCAAGGTGAATTCCTTCTCATTTCGCTTCAGTGCCACGGTTTTCACGTGCTCTTAACAGAGGCATAAGCCACGCACTTAACTGGTTTAATGTTCTTTGGTTTATAATAGCACGCAGATGTTGGAAAGTTAGTTAGGGAAAGTATTTCCCTTAATTGTTTAGGAACACCTGCTACGTTGACCTGAAGGAGAAAGTAATATTCTGTTAAAGTATCAGTGAAAATACATAAGAGTCTAACCATTATGATGGTTGGCTAATGGGGTTTAAAATCTATCGACTACACTAAGAGTCTTTAATGCTACCCGTAACATTTCATCACCAGACAAGAATACTTTAATCTCTAAAGCAGGAATTAAAGTGAACTCTCAACATATAACGCTGAGAGAAACACCTTTCGGTATATATAACCTGTCCCATTATGATGGTAAGACGTGTGCAACAGTTAGTTAGGTATCTTTATTCCTAAAAGTTTCGCGTCCAGAGTAGGCTTCAGCAGTCGAATACAGAGGTGGCAGCAGAAGCAATGGAGTTGTAAAGACGGTGCAGTCAGTTCATTACCCTTGAAGATGTAGTTTTCAGGTGGTCAGTCCCTCAGCCTGGAGAACAGTTCAGTTCCATAGTCTAGGCACTGTGCTGTTGTGTTTCTCTAGCTTCCCCAGATCAAAAGAACAAAAGTACACATTATTTATGGGTTACTTCCACATTCCAGAAACATAAGATCCGGAAAGAGATTTTGAACCAATGAATTGCTTTCAAAAAGTATTTTTTTTTAATTAAAACTTGGTAAAACGGCATCGTCCGGTTGCCCCCTGATCTAGCTGATATTTTAGGTTAGAGAATGATCTGTGTTTACCGAACACACTCATCACACAGGATGATTTCCTGTCATACTCCACGAAGGAAGATTTTTCTTGTCCTGCTCCACCACGCAGGATGCTCTTCCTTCCAGACGCCATCACGTATATCTTTCCTGTCATACCACTCGTCATAGTTTTCTTAAAGCTAAAATACAACCAGTGTAGAATAATACCAAATTTTCTTTCACGTTTCTCAAGCCTATTAAAGCTTCCCTTCCTTCCTGTTTTCCCCCTCCGCCCTGAGCGCTGACACGAGGCGCAGAAGACATCCTCCTCGCCTTTCCGAAATTCCCCAGCCCTTTTCTACCTCTCGTTATGATTTTTCCCTAACCTCCGCCAGCCTCTCCAACCTTCCTCCAGCCTTCACCAGCATTCTCCACTTCTACTTAGTCACAACACAGCTTAGGTACCGTGTGAGGCACTTATTAGCGAGGACTCGCAGTGTTTACTGTGGTATGTTGTGGTGTAAGGGGAAAGTGGAAAGCTATTTTACCCAATTTCTCACTATGTAATTATCTGTTTCTAATAACCTGTGCTGAGGAACTGATTACCTCAAACTCATTCTGAGCTTCAACCCTTCTTCTCTGCATTGAACTGAGGAAGCCACTGGTTGGCGAAACGTTTCTACAATAAAGATACCCAAGTGTCCAATTCATCATATATAAGAAGAAACACTGCAGCAGGCCTACAGGCCCATGCGAGACAGGTCGAAGTCTCCTACAGGCTTAAGCCAATGACCCAACCTAGTCAGGTCAGGTCATCATATTAAACCTGCAGTAATGTTGGTACCTGCATCCTCTTCTTTCACCTCTAAAAAGCAAAGCTTTCTCTAATATCTTCCCGTCGCTGCTGTAGATGAGCCAAGAAATCTTTCTTAAATACTTTAACACTATTAAAATGATACACATGATTATCAGGTCTCGTCTCAGCCCACAAAAACGTCTTTAATGTTTTCAGACTTCCCGTGTAAATATTTTTGTTAAAAATGACCCGTGGAAAAATAACACTAGAATGTATTAGAAAACGCCTCAATGTCCCGAAAGCTGAAACGTTTTTACCCCTCAAGGAAGGTTCCTTGATGTTGGTGAGGGGCTCTTGATTTAGGGAATTGGATCTGTGCTCCAGTTCCCCGAATTAAGCCTGAATGCCTTCCACATCCCCCCCCCAGGCGCTGTATAATCCTCCGGGTTTAGCGTTTCCCCCTTGATTATAATAATAATGAAATGTTTTTAATATAAATATAATCCTAGTGTTTGCTTATGTCTCTTATATAAACTCATTTGTCGGTATCTATTACCAAGGTTTATATCAAATAATTTTATTTGTGTGGTTTGGGATCCATTAAGCACCTCGTCTTCGTATTCCTTTTTTTTTTTTTTTTTTTTAAGATTATTCACGTGTTTTTTTTTCTCTATGCTGACGCTGTACCATCGCTTCGTGTTCCAGTGTTGTCACAAACACCGTCAACACCTATTTTAGCCATTCCCCATCAATATACCTGAAGGATACTTTTAAAGTCTGCCGGGGAGTTATTGAATTTTTCCTGATTTCATTTCTGTGATATTCCAGCGACGATAATTTGTCAATGTGTCTTCCGTCGGTCTGAAATTTTTAGATCGCCACAAGGACCCACAATGGAAATAAGTCACTTAATCTGAATTTTTGGGCTGTCCTAACTAATTTACACATGTTACTATGCAAGACAAGCCACGGGAGAGGGAGGAAGGCTGGAAATCTTTAGCTCAAGTACTTTTATACTTCTCAGTGCGTCATCAGGAGCTGTGCCATGCTGCACAACTGCAGTTTCTCCAGCATAGCTGCAGTTTCTCCAGCATAGCTGCAGTTTCTCCAGCATAGCTGCAGTTTCTCCAGCATAGCTGCAGTTTCTCCAGCATAGCTGCAGTTTCTCCAGCATAGCTGCAGTTTCTCAGCATAGCTGCAGTTTCTCCAGCATAGCTGCAGTTCTCCAGCATAGCTGCAGTTTCTCCAGCATAGCTGCAGTTTCTCCAGCATAGCTGCAGTTTCTCCAGCATAGCTGCAGTTTCTCCAGCATAGCTCCAGTTTCTCTAGCACCTCCAGTTTCTCCAGCATAGCTCCAGTTTCTCTAGCACTCCAGTTTCTCCAGCATAGCTCCAGTTTCTCTAGCACCTCCAGTTTCTCCAGCATAGCTCCAGTTTCTCTAGCACCTCCAGTTTCTCCAGCATAGCTGCAGTTTCTCTAGCACCTCCAGTTTCTCCAGCATAGCTCCAGTTTCTCTAGCACCTCCAGTTTCTCCAGCATAGCTCCAGTTTCTCTAGCACCTCCAGTTTCTCCAGCATAGCTCCAGTTTCTCTAGCACCTCCAGTTTCTCCAGCATAGCTCCAGTTTCTCTAGCACCTCCAGTTTCTCCAGCATAGCTGCAGTTTCTCTAGCACCTCCAGTTTCTCCAGCATAGCTCCAGTTTCTCTAGCACCTCCAGTTTCTCCAGCATAGCTCCAGTTTCTCTAGCACCTCCAGTTTCTCCAGCATAGCTCCAGTTTCTCTAGCACCTCCAGTTTCTCCAGCATAGCTGCAGTTTCTCTAGCACCTCCAGTTTCTCCAGCATAGCTCCAGTTTCTCTAGCACCTCCAGTTTCTCCAGCATAGCTCCAGTTTCTCTAGCACCTCCAGTTTCTCCAGCATAGCTGCAGTTTCTCTAGCACCTCCAGTTTCTCCAGCATAGCTCCAGTTTCTCTAGCACCTCCAGTTTCTCCAGCATAGCTCCAGTTTCTCTAGCACCTCCAGTTTCTCCAGCATAGCTCCAGTTTCTCTAGCACCTCCAGTTTCTCCAGCATAGCTCCAGTTTCTCTAGCACCTCCAGTTTCTCCAGCATAGCTCCAGTTTCTCTAGCACCTCCAGTTTCTCCAGCATAGCTCCAGTTTCTCTAGCACCTCCAGTTTCTCCAGCATAGCTGCAGTTTCTCCAGCATAGCTCCAGTTTCTCTAGCACCTCCAGTTTCTCCAGCATAGCTCCAGTTTCTCTAGCACCTCCAGTTTCTCCAGCACAGCTGCAGTTTCTCCAGCACAGCTGCAGTTTCTCCAGCACAGCTGCAGTTTCTCCAGCACAGCTCCTGATGACGCACTGACAAGTGTGAAAAAAAATAGTTAGATCTAAAGACCCCCCACCCCCCCCGTGGCTTGTCTTGCATTAAGATTGTCTACGATTGTTTGCAATATGTTACTATGTATGATAATTATGAATGTGTACCCGTACCTAATTAAACACAAAATATATAGCCTCCATGTGGGCCCATCGCACTTTATTCTATTTATTTTTGTAATAATTACAGTATATATAATTATTTCTTCTGGCTAAAAAAAGGGGGAGAGAGGAAGAAAGGGATAGATGAAGGAAAGGAGAGAAAGAGGAAGGAGGGAAAGAGGAAGGAGAGAAGGTCTTACCTATCTCGTAGCTACCAAGAAGCACTTTCTGTAATTGACTATAACTGGAAATCGGTAATTTGTAAATTAGAGTAACCTCCCCAGAGAAGATAATAATGGGTGAACCAGGGGAGGGGAGGGAGGCAGCACTGGCCATACGTAAACACAGGCAACTCGAAGTTTTCGTTTTCATTTTCTGTGCTCTGTTCGCTGCCTTTATTATCAAGTACTCTCTCTTTATTAA